CTAAGACAGAGCCTTGCCAAAGAGGCCGCAACTCAACCGCACGATACGGCAAAAGCCGTGGAGTCTACGGACGACGCAATGGAGGAGGATGTGGCAACCGCCTCAGAGGAGGAGGATTCGGCGGAGGCCGCTCAACGAACCTCGCCAATCGTCGAACCACCTGAAGATGATACATTCGATCGGGACAGTGTTGGTAGTGACCAAGACGTGGATATGGACGTAACTGCGAACCAGCCCTCTTCGCCTGGACCTCTCGTCGAGGATGACGAGGACGCACAGTCTAGTCAGGGGTCCTTGGCCGATGGCCTTCCCCCGTCATCACAAGCCCCGAGAGAAAGCCCGTCAAGTACACGCAGCGAAGACATGGAGGAAGAGGAGGAGGTCGTCCCAACCCCTCAGCTGCCAATCAAAACTTTCCGCGATGCACTCCGAGGTTCAGCCAAAAAGCTCACTACTTATTCCAAGAAGGATGCAGCTGTTGAGAGGCCGGCCACGACGCCGCGAGCTACTCGACGTCGCAATGCCCAGCCAGACGAAGAACAGCCCTTTGATGTTGGCAACTTGCCTAGTTCGGCTCAGAAGTCTACCCGCTCCACGGCATCCAAGAAGCAGCGCTCTAAACCGGACTTCTTCGAAAAGTCAACATCAGTCCAAGAGACACCAGAGAATCTCGAGGTGGCAGGGAGTGCGGCTCGTGAGATCCAAGAGGACGGCGAGGATCAGGAGCCCGGAACTGAAGAGGCCCCAGTCAAGAAGCCAGCATCGACCAAGACCGCAAAGCCTCAGATGAAGCTCAAGAAACCCAAACAGACAGTCGCCTCTCGCACACCCGCAACCGCCACACCGAAGCCCGTAAAGGCGAAAACGCCAAAGAAGGCTCCCCAGCCCAAGGGAGCGCCTCAGGGACCACCTGAATATATCACCGGCCAATTCTCCCATGAAGAGATGCGCAAGCTCAGAGAAGTTGTCGAGAAGTATCGAGAAGAGAACGACCTGTCACAAGAGGAGATGAACAATCTTATCCAGATGAAGCAGCGCACAAAAGTGTCTAAGACGGCTATCCCATATGACAGCGAGAAATTCCTCCACCTGTGGAATTACATTTGTGCCGCTCTTCCTGACCGGCGCCGCCAGAAAACTATCGATGTTGCTCGCCAGAATTTCCACAACTTTAAGGCTCGCGGAGGAGGATGGACTGCCAAAGAAGATGTTAAGCTAGCGATGCTGTACGCCAAACATGGTAATTGCTGGATCAAAATTGCAGAAGAGCTGGGTCGCCACGAGAAGGATGTTCGCGACCGCTACAGGAACTATGTCATTTGTGGCCGCACGGAAGGCCGCAATTATTGGACTGAGGAGGAAGAAAAGGAATTGGTTCAGCATGTCATCACCTTGCTCAGACGGACGGACCGGTCACCTTCGAAGATTCAACAGCCTTACGAACCCATGATCAACTGGCAGACGGTCAGTGAGCTGATGGGCCGCAAGCGCACTCGTCTGCAGTGCATGAGAAAGTTCAAGACTCTCAACGTGGAACTTACCCCCAGCGAAGTTCTGAGGTCTTCGCGCCCCGCGTCAAAGGTCACCTGGACTTTGGAGAAGGCCCGCAAGCAGATCCAAGAAATGCCGCCCGAAGATAAACACAAAATGGTCCGGGCTATCCTGGCAGGAGGCGCCGGTCGCGACCGATTGATTCAATGGACGAAGCTCGCCGACTTGGAGTTCCGCAGGAAGTGGCCTAAGAAGACTCTCCATTTGCTATGGTATCGTCTAAGGCAGCGTGTCCCCGATCAAAAGGAAAAGTCAGTTAGGGACTGTGCCCGTTGGTTGCTGGAGGATGCCAAGGCGAGTGGCCCCCGAGGTGCCAAAATACTCGGCGGAGGGGATACCAACTATGATACCGAGACCGAGATGGCTGTTGTTGATCCTCCCAAGAAAACCAGCCGTCGAAAGAGCCTGAAAAATGAGCCACGCAGTGCTGAACTTGTGGTTGACAGCGACGACGCTTCCGACGACGAGAACAACAACAAAGACGATGACGACAACGTCTCTGAAGCCGATGAGGAAGATGAGACCAGGCTGACAGAAGGTGATTCTCCGTCTACACGGCAGTCATCAGCCCAATCGAATCGACTCCTGACTGATTCTATATCGAATGCTCTCTCTGCGTCTCCATCTCTCCAACCTGCTGGCATTTCCAGACTTCTCCCCGTCGAAGCGGAAGACGCTAGGCCCAGCCCTGCTAAGAAACGTGTCAGGCTTTCTGGAGGAACTTCATCCAGACAACGGTCTATGGAGAATGATGGCAGTTCACCAGAGCCAGTCGCCTCACAGTATGCGGCCGAGAAGATTCCCGACCGCCTCAAAGAGAAGAGAGAAAAGGCCAAGAGGCGTATCTCTTCCGGGATCAGACTTCGAACAGCGGCATCACTGCAACCGGAGTCGGTGCAGAACAGCGATGTTGACGAAGACATGCCACCGATTCGCGTCCCACCTTCCACAGCACCCGCATCTGTCAAGAGCAGAAAAGCGGACAGGCGGGTGGGCGACTGGGCCAGAAAGACTGGAGGCCCCGAGCCGCCAGGCCTGCCGGCACCAGTCAGTGACGAAAACGATGAAGACATGTCGCCGGCTCCCGCCCCGCCCTCGACTGCTCCTTCAGGGTCTAAGGGTCGGAAAAGAGCAAACAGACTCAGGGACTAAACCAGCTAGTGGACAGCTTGGGTTGGGATTTAACGCTGCGATGGATGTGCAACTAGATTGTTGTACAAGTTTCACATCTTCTCAAGTCACTCGAGTAGTGTGGCAGTGTACATGATGATACCCCGCGAGGCTGAGGTACGATGTTGACTCGAGAGTCGTTATTGATGGATAAGGTTTAGTGGCCAGGGTGCCGCAGAGAATACTATCAGAGCGGTCAACGTTCTGGGCCAAAAGCAATGGCAGGCCACAGCATGGGCAAAGCAGGTTCAGGCACGTCACACAGCATTTGTTATGAGGGTTGTTTTTCGGAGTGGATATCGATTGTTCAAGGATGGGAATTGTACATAGCTTAGTAGCTGCGAACCCCATCATTATCGAATGGTTCAAAACAAGTTGTATTGAAGCTCTTTCTCAGATGTCAAATTCCCACGTTCCATTGTACTTTGTGGAATCGTCAGTTGAGTTGTTTGTCGTGAGGAATTTACGTCATTGGTCATGACTCGTCGGTGGCCAGTCGAACCACCCGAACGATAACGAGGTTTGAATTTTTTCACTCAGCGATTTTTCCTAAGCCTAGTGGAATGTCGTCATAGGACGACCACTTACTCATGAATCAGCTACCGCAGCTATCTCGCAACTGAGAATCTGTCTCGCGCCTAGTCGATAAGCGGCCATCAGCAGTAATCCAGCTTCATCTCCGACCGCCACGGATCCATCTGCCCACTTTTTGACATCCGTGCCGCCGTCGCCGCCATCGTAGGGCTGTGACGTTCCGTGGCGAGAGACGATGTGTGTGTGTATGATATCTACATTGTTACCTTGACAACGTCAGGCTCTCTCCCAGGTTGGGAAGCACAGTCGATAAGGTAAACCCGCGGGATGAAGTGGTGGGATGGATAATCGGCTCTCGCCCGAGAACGGGGGAACCCAGCGGAATGGGAAAGGAACTTGTTCCCCATGTACGGTACATGCGTGTCAACTGGGGGTTGACTGATGCGTGCTTTTGCAGCGCTGTACACGTGTACTGGAGAACCCGATAAAGCTGTGATGACAAAGTCGTGTACTTACCCAAATGGCGAGTCCCAGGGCAGTGGGAGAAGGGGTGACACGCAAAAAAAGAGTGTGACGGCCACGCACTCCGAGCCCAAGACGCGACGTCATCCGGGGGAGGTGATGTGTAGAATTTCTAGAATGATTCAACATGCGTGAATCTTCCGACATCTGGGGAAAGAATAACGGGGGGGTTCCCGGAGACAGCACTGCATGCGTTTCTGTACCACGGCCATTCCGTGCGGGGTCTTCCTTCTTCTCCATCGCGCGTTGTCGGATGTCATTGTCACGATGGCTTCACGTAGACAGTACCCCGGAGCAAGTTCCGCGCGACGCGCGCGTGCGGAATTTTCTCTGTAGAATCAACAGTTGTGGCGTCATTGTTCCGTCGCGGAGGGAGTCGGCGCGACGCGGGGTGTCTGCAAACGGTCCTTGTCGGGATCGGTATCGAATTTTGGCCCGAGTCAGGACGACCTGAGCACCTTGACACTGGAAGTAGGTAGATCAGCAAACGCCGAGAGACCGGAGAAACATCTGGAGGCGATCATCCCGGGCGTTTCGGAGAGGCAGAAGTAGGGAAGCTGCAGTTGTTACGGGTAGCATTGGCAATTGCTGATGGGGAGGCACTGGTATTAGTATCGGCGTCGGCGATAGCAGCATCAAGCATCGCGATTGTCACCGACCATTCAAATCCGTGGAAATGCGCGCGACGGACAGTCTCATTCGCAACAGACGGGAATCTAGAGTGAGTGGAGGGTACGAAGTACTTTCGAGGCTGAGAGCGGAAAGCACAAAAAGGGAAAAGACGAGCCTCAGCCTCCAGCAACCTCACCGTGTAAGAACCTGAAAAGTTGAACGTCGAGCTCACGGAAAACATCCGATCAGACCACCGGATGAAAAGCGGGGCCCTCAGGGACCGACCGCAGCGGCGTGGCCGCACTTCGGGCCCTTATGGTGGTTTTACGGATAGTTGATGGGGCGGAGGGGCCCGCCGCGATGAAAGACACTCACAGTCTCACACGGTACACCCCTCTCCCCCCCCCCCCCCTGGGCGGATCCGCATTCAAGGCGTACGGCCGAGGTGAGGCGAGAATTTGCGCGCGCAATGGGCCACCTTTTTTTCAGAAAAGATCCGAGTTAGTGCCTTGAGATCCAATTTGAGCCACAGTCTTTCATGGACTGTTTATCACCTACGTGGCAGTGTGGTGAAGTTTGAGCCTAGAGACAGTTGTGTGAGCCACAGCTTCTCAAGTGAGGTGGCTTGACCTTATCACGGTAGCTTGAGGCTCGAGATGTTTCACGATAGATTCGTCCATCGTGAGCTTCACCACCAGTGGTAAGTCATTTGCTGTCTTGATATTGACCACCTCTCGCTCAAATTTCTGTGCAATCCCCCCTTCCACCACTCCGTACCTCCTCATGCCCACTTCTCATTCAACCGTGAAGCAAATTTTCATGGTCTCGTGTCGTTACGAGTTCCTCACTTGTCGGCCCTTTTCCTCTCGCGTGCAAAAGAGACGAGAAGACTCTTACCACAATACTCCATCATACTCCCCCTTTTCCCTCACTCTGGGCCTCTGGGACTGGGAGTTTCCACATATCGTGAATGACCAGGCCGTGTACGCAGTAGGTAGCGGTTGCCATTTGGCCGGCAGCACATTTCGTCGCTGTTTCGCATAGCTTCGTTGCTCGTAGCTGGCGTAGGATGGGGCTCAATACTCGGCGTGCTCTCGCGGTAATCGTGGAGTCGTGGCCGAGTCTCGGTGCTTTTCTGGTTCTCTCATGTCTCTCGTTAGAAGGTAGACTCCACGACTCCACATCGTGGACCAGACCAAGGGGATGCCGGCCGGTGAAGTGGGTTGTGTAATGATCTGGCTCAAGGGACGAGACTCGTCGAGCCGTGAGCCGCATCCATAGCCCTCAATAGCTCCTATAGCTCTCATGTTTCTCTGGTCTTTCATTCGACGAGTCACGAGTATCTCTCGCTACAACCCTCCCCTCTCACTCTCCGAGACTCTGCCTCCCGTTGAACGTTGGCCAACAGTAGCGCCAACGGTATGCATACCTAGTAGACGGTCGGCGGTTATCAGGAACCAGGCGCGCTAGAAGCAACGGGAGCAAGCCACAGAGCGAGGGACAGATACGGATGCAAGGTGTCCAGGCGTATCTGCGAGCTAAGGCAGCCTAGTAGGGGCGTGTCGCGGCGGCATCTGCTTGCCGGGCCGAAGAGGACCAACAGGGTTCAGGGGGTGGGGGTCCCGTCAGCGGACAGGGAAGGAGATAACATTTTTTTTTCTTTACAGTCAAGCAGTAAACGCCAGATGGAAAACAAGAAGAAGAGTGTGAACTGTGAAGAGAAAGGGCAAGGTGGATGGGGCAGGGGTGCAGGGGTCAGCGTCTAATCGGACCTTGCGTGGGCCAAGCTGCCATGCGATGCCATGCGGCTGCGTTGTGGACTTGTGGTTTTCTTTCGCAGTCATTGCAGCCTTTGCAGCCCTTTGTGGTGAAGGTTGTTATTCTCGTGATCCGACATGACCGTGGTGCATATGTCGGTCCGGGGAATGAGGCCTTGACCGGACGATGTGATGCGTCGCTCGGGGTATTTTTTTTTTTTTATGATACGATGGTATGGTCAAAGTGTGCATGTCGTGGTAAACCCGGGTCTGCGATGTGTTGATACCTATTCGGAGTATGTGCGGTGCAACTATTCAAAAAACCACAAAATCCATGATATTCCCAGAATCCCAGTGACAGGCCATGGCATGCCAGATGGCAGATGCCGCCCGTGCGGTGGAGATCTACCTTACCGTAAAGTACGTACCCGGGAAGGAAGATGCGGCGACGGCACGGTACTTGGGCCCAAAATGTGGATGCCCTCTTATTTTATTTTTTCAAGTGGTTCTCTGCTGTTTTTCTTCCTCTTCATTACTTTGCATGTCCCTGGTTACCACGTCGGTTTCTTTCCGCATCTAAGCATACGTGGACGAACAAGTGCATCGTCTGATGTTATGACGTGAGCGAATGTGGTTCCAGGGCTCCAGCGATCTTTTCTGGAAGAAACGGAATGGTTCAATCGAAGGGCAGGGAACCTGACTCTCTCTCCCGTACTTGTGTATGACAGACCTGCACGTTAAGCTTTGAGTTTGTCAGTCCATCAGTCAGCCGTGCAGCATATCCTGTTCGCGATGCTAGCAATGCTACTGTGTACCTAGGTAGAGCGCAGGCCAAGCAAGGCCAGCCGCCAAGCCGTCGTCACTGTCACTCAATCAATCAAACTCCCGTCCCTCCATGGCATGGCGCGTACCAAGATGATCAAGGTTACGTGCCTCTTCACAATTCCGTGGTGCGGTGGCACGGTGGTATGGTGGCAGCATACGCGACGGGACCTGCATCGGTGCATCCTGACCCTGACGTCAATCGGAGGCTTCGGGATCTCCACCAACTACGAATGAAGTCCTGGACAGCAGGCGGATCATCTCGTGCTATTCCTCACTAGACAGATTCCAGCAGCACGCCAAGGATAAAGGGTCCGATTAGTGTAATTGTGGCCCGTCCAATCTGGGCCTTGACTGCTTTCTGGATTTGTCGCCCTGCCTCTGCCTGCAACCACGAACACAGATCCTGGACAGGGAAGCCAGATTCATTCGGCGAGTTCCAGCTATCACCGCGAATAATTGTGGTGACCCTGCCGCATACGCCGTCGTCTCGGCCTCTTTTCGAAAGTCTGGTCTGCGGTCCCTGTCACCTTGCCTTTTGCTTGAACCACCACCACTCTCTGTAGTGCTCACTGCTCGCTCACACCGGGGAGCCTCATGTTTAGACCGACTCCTCTTAGTGGCCGAGCATTGGACCGAATAATTGCAATGAGACTCGACGTCAATCATCAGCTCACGGGGCACACCCCTTCCCTTGCCTACCGTACCCCCCAGTACACCGTGCACACCAGATCCAGTGCCTTGACGGTGTCGGGTGCTGGACGGTGCCACGGTGGTTGCTTGAAGCTCAGCTGCGTCGGCCGGAGGTACTCGGCGCAATGTACCACCAACGTCACTCGTGAGGCTCGCGACACGGCGAGAGCTATGGCCATCCGGCCCATCGGCGGCGGTCCCACCGTCCCAAGAGGTTCCAGAGGTTCCTCCCAAGGTACCTAGGTAGGCCCTCTCGCTACAACCACAACCGTCAATTTCCAAAGTCACCCTGGTCCGACATGTCACCACGGTCACGGTATTCTCTCTCGCGACTCTCCGCCCGCGAGACGACTGGGCCAGAACCACCACTACCACCACGTCGTTCTTCACCCGGTCTTCACCCGCCATTATCCCACAGTCCAGCCCACACACGTACGTTGCTGCCCGCACTTTTCTTGGTTCGCCCACGGGCCCCCGACTTGTCCGTTTGATGCATGTTGTTGTGGACTGTGGGAGTGTGTGGGAGTGTGGGTTAGCCAGTACCAGCAATGTGGGTATCGTTTTCTTCCTTTCCTTTCGTTTTTTTTTTTTTTTCGTTGTTTAGCAAGCAAACCAAGATGTCCATGCCCACCCCGGCTGCCCTGCTTGGTCAGAGACGTGATCATGAGGCATGAAAAGCACCTTTCCATCAGTCAAAGTGTGGAAACGCATGCGGAGGCATACGGGGATATACGGGGAGTGAAATGGGTTCCCAATGGGTGAGAACGGGGTGAGCATCTGCTCATTCCTTCCTTGCTTGCTTCCTTCCCTTCTTCGCGCCTTCCGTTGTGCTTTCCGCCGTGCCATGCCATGTCGTGCAAGGTAAGGTACCTCTCCTTCCGTGCTCCCTTCCATACCTTGGCCAAGTACCGAAATAAGGTGAGCACCTACCTTAGGTATGGTACATCCCTTACCTTAGTAAGTACTAGGTAAAGTAAGTAACTTGGGTAAGGTAGGAAGCAAAGTGAGGAAGGTACGAACCGGAAAGTAGGTACGTCCCAACCCGGAGCCGTGGTCGCGAGACCCAGTCCCCGGGCACTCCCCAGTCACGCCGTACCTTCCCAGTCAACCCAGACTACTCCGTACCTTACCTATGGAACTGTGGGAAGGACCTGCTCGTCTCCTGACCTCTTTCCTCTAATACAAAAAGAATCCATTCCTTCCCCCATCGTTTACTCTTGGCCCCCTTTCCTCCTTCCCATCCCACACTTCTCCAGACTAATCAGAGTTTTATCTCAACTACCTTGTCCCTCTCCACACCTCAACAGCTCAAGGCAGGTATAATACCTTCCTTCCTCCCTCTCTTCCTTCTTCTTGAAGCAGACACCCAACAACCTCAACACCAACAAGAACCTCGTTCTCACCCAGAGACATCATCACCCTCGGAACCAACAGACTTATCTCTCCCGCCTCTACATCCTCCCCTGGATCGAGAACACCAAACCCACCCCCACATCATCCATCCCCATATCGACGCACATCGTCAGCATCGCCCATCATGCAGTTCCCCAAGCTCGGTGGCAAGGGCGTAGAGCATAAGGACCGGACGGAAGCCGACGCTCCCACCTCGGATTCCAGCTCCGACATCACGGCTGAGCAGAAGATTACCTTCGCCGCCGCTTTCCTCGGCCTCGTTGCCAGTATCGGTGGTTTCATGTTCGGTTATGTCAGGTATGTCTTACTTCCCCGGAGAAACGGGGGGGGGGGGGCACCTCTCCGCCCCGCCCTCCTCCATCTGAGACCTACATGTCTCGCCGGCCGTTCCGTTTGCTGACCCTTTGTTCCTCACAGTGGTCAGATTTCCGGTTTCTTCCTGATGGAAGACTTCATGCAGCGCTTCGGTGAGCCCCAGAATGGCACCTACGTCTTCAGCGCCGCTCGCCAGGGTACCATCGTCGGTCTCTTGTGTATCGGCTGTCTCGTTGGTGCTCTTACTGCCGGCAAGCTCGCCGACACTCTCGGCCGTCGCATGACCATCTCGCTCTTTGCCTTCTTCTCCTGCATTGGTATCGTCATCGAGATCTCCTCCACCACCAAGTGGTACCAGTTCGCCATTGGCCGCCTCGTCAACGGCGTCGGCATCGGTGCCCTCTCCGTCGTCGTTCCCATGTACCAGTCCGAGTCTTGCCCCGCCATTATCCGCGGTGTCATTGTCTCCACCTACCAGCTCTTCATCACGCTCGGCATCTGGCTCGCCGAAATTGTCAACTTCGCGACCCACAACAAGGCCGGCTCTGCCTCCTGGCGCATCCCCAACGGTCTCGGCTTCGCCTGGGCCCTCATTCTCGGTGCCGGTATCCTCCTCCTTCCCGAGTCCCCCCGTTACGCCTTCCGCCAAGGTCGTGAGGACGAGGCTCGCCGCAACATTGCCAAGCTTGCCGGAGTCGAGCCCAATGCCGCCTCTGTCAACCTCCAGATCGATGAGATCCGCGCCAAGGTCGCCGAGGAGTCTGCTGGCGCCGACACCAGCATCTGGGAGATCTTCACCGGCCCCCGCATGTTGTACCGTACCATTCTCGGAATTGTGCTTCAGGCCGGTCAGCAGCTCACTGGCGCCAACTTCTTCTTCTACTTCGGAACCACCGTCTTCTCCGCTACCGGTCTCAGCGACAGCTACGTCACTCAGCTCATTCTTGGATCCGTCAACGTCGCTTGCACCTTTGGCGGTCTGGTTGTTGTCAAGAAGTCTGGCCGCCGTATTGCTCTCATCGTCGGTGCTCTGTGGATGATGATGTGCTTCTTCGTCTACGCCTTTGTCGGTCACTTCGCTCTTGACACCGTCACCCCCTCCAACACCCCCCAGGCCGGCGCCGTTCTCGTTGCCTTCTCTTGCCTGTTCATCGCCGGTTTCGCCACGACCTGGGGTCCTCTCGTCTGGGCTGTCGTCGCTGAGCTGTACCCTGCTCGCTACCGTGCTCCCGCCATGGCCCTTGCCACTGCCTCAAACTGGCTCTGGAACTTGTA